AAAAAAAAAAAAAAAACTCACTGGGAGCAAGTTGGTGGGCCCATGGGCTTGGGATCATGATCTTGAGGAACATCAAGCTCAATTGACATAACATACTAAACAAAAACATTGTTCTACATCCTACTTTAGTGAGTAGTGACTGGGCTTTAAAAGCTTGCAAGCTGCCATCTAAGATGCAACCATTGGTCTTTCTTTGTCTGGAACCAAGAAGAATGAGGAAAACCAAGCATACATGGAAACAGTTAATTCAAGGGACTAGTGGACTGTGGAAACCTCAGCCTACATGACCTTGAGACCAGAGGGAATAGATTGTACCCAGCTACCACCCTTAACCACTCAGGAAGGGATGAAAATAGGAAATCCTGAATAGAGTGGGAGAAAAATGCGAAACAAAACTCAAAATTATAAAAAAGACCAGCTTTACTGGTCTGATCAAGACTGGTAAAACCCCTGAGACTATGACCCCCTAGTCACCCTTTGGGCCTGGAATTGAACTCACTCCCATGGCTTCCAGCCAAACATAGACAGGTGTATAAGGTGAACATTTATACCAAGTAAGTAAACTCCTTAGAACAATCAACTATGGGAGATCAGAAGCACAGGGAGAGTGCTCAGAGGGTAGGAATGCGTGGGAAAGAAAAACACAGGGAAAAGGTAGCCATGGGGAGGAAGTGGAAAGAGGGCTGTTGCATTGTGGGGATTGCTATCAATGTCATGAAACAAAATGTATGTGAACTGTTGTGTGGAAAATGAATTTGCTCTATAAACTTTTACACCTCCCCCTAGAAAAGAAAAAAAAAAAAAAAGCCTTGGATGGCACAAATGGTTAATTGGTCAACTACTAATTGAAAGGTTGGCAGTTTGAACCCACTCAGAGATGCCTTCTAAGAAAGGCCTGGTGATCTATTTCTGGAAAAATCAGCCATTGAAAACCTTATGGAGCACAATTCTACTCTGAGGCACGTGGGCTTGCCATGATTGGTAATGGACTCAACAACTGTTTTTTGTTTGTTTCTTTTCCATGATGAAAAAGTCTGGTGACTCCTGAGAGAAGAATTACAAAAGGAAGGGCAGATTTGAATGAATATTATAGGGAATTTGAGGTACCTACAGAGCATTCAAGGAGCTCTGGCAGTGAAGTGCCTAAGGCTTTTGACTGCTAACCAGAAGTTTGTTGGTTCAAACCCACTCCACAGAGGGAAGATGAGGCAGTCTACTTCCATAAAGATTTACTGCCTCAAAAACCCAATGGGGGTTGCTATGAGTTGGAATCCACCCTATTGCAGTGGGTTTGGTTTTTTCTTTTGAGTTAGAGCATTCAGGCGGTAACATCCAGCAGGCAGTAAGGGTGTGGACTCA